TTAAGTGGTACCTGACACTCACTGTTATTAAGTGATGGTAATTAGTATGAATTCAACCATATATATCAAGGGCACCTATGTGCCAGGCACTATCTCTTATTTGCTCAAGAGCACATCCAGGCAAGTGACCTGGGAAATACCAGGATGCATCAGTTAGGTTTGATTGAGGAAGTACCCCCATGAGTGACAGGGGGCAAGGGATTGGTCGCAGGGCCGAGACCTTACCCAGTGATGGGTCTGAAGTCGCTGTAGATCAGCAGGGCCAGAAGTCTGGAAGAAAAGTCAGATGTGAGGTGGGAGAGAGTGAGGCCAAGGTAAACCACCAAAGACGACTGCAACTTTTATTTTTCTCTGGCCAATTCCAACCTTGACTTTGAAACCGAAAGCTGGTACTCTGTACCACAGACCCAGATGTAGCTTTGCTCCAGGCTCAGAATAGCTGAGGGGGAAGATCTGGCAGGAGCTGGGGAAGCTGTGGGCCCACACCAACAGGGAAAGCGCCCAGATGGGCCACAAGGTGTTGCAAGTTTGAAGCAGCTGTCATTGCCATGGGCTGACCTTGACGGCATGAGAGTTGCTGCTTCACTTCTACCTCCCAGGTGCTCCACGAATATCTTTTGTGGACAATCCTGACCTGGAACCACACAGGGAAGGTAATTCTGGGAAATACAGTTCCAGCTTGGTCAAGGTGGCCCAATACAAAGCCACTGCACTGATGTTCCAGTGGTTTCCACCGCACTGCTGTAAACGGCCCTGTCAAGGGAAAGAGGGTAAACTTTGGAAGGCACACTGAAGCAGAGCCTTCTGACTCACCTCTCCCCTGGCAACCTCGCTTTTGAAGCCTTGGGTCAGACAGAAAAAAAGAGAAATTTACCTATGATCCTACCTCCCAAAGAAAGCTTTTGTCAACATTTTGGTGTGAACCCTATGTCGTCTTTTTCCTAGTTCAAATATACACCTGTCTTTAAAAGAAAAATGGAATCATAGCATCCATGATATTTTGTAACCTGTTTTTCTTTTAGTGTAAATAGTCTTTTTCCATGTCACTAGCATTCTTCCTTAATATTATTCACATCTGTGTAAGGATTTCATGGCATGAATGTACCTAGTTTATCTATAAAGTGGCTAATAGCATAGACTCTGAAGACAGACTGCTGGGGTTCAAATCCCAAGTCTTCCAACCTTAACTAGCTGTGAAAACGGGCAAATGAGTTAGCCCTCTGTGCTCTTAGTTTCCTCACCTGTAAAATGGGGCTAATAGGGCTTCCCTCGTAGGGTTGTTCTGAAGAAAAGATGACTTTGTATATGAGGATAACCTCCCAATGATATTATTTAACCAATCTTTTCAATGGAATATTTAGATTGTTTCCAAGCTTTTCACTTTTACATATACACCACAATTAACAAATTTAGCGCACTCTGAATTCCTTCCAAAGGAAATATTTGTGGTCACATTAGGGAAATCTTTTCCAGAGTGAATCAACACACTCAATGTACACTGAGCGTCCATATGTACAAAGCGTTATGCTATAACAAAGATAAATGAACACAGTTCTCTTCCTTAAGACTTTTAAAAGGTAGTGGGGGTTAGAGCAAGGCACATTCATATACAAATATAATACTGTGTAGAAACATACCAGCACGTAGACAGAGTGGCACAAATGAAGAACTCTGGGAGAGGAGAACACCTTTTGCTGGAGAATCAGATCATGCAATCAAAGAGAAAGAAAGACTTCATCCGCTGCTCCTACCGCCTCCCAAATCCCCAAATCAGAATTCAGAATGGTTTCTGTTTGTCATGTTGAGAATTTGTTACCTCCAAAGAGAGCACCAAGGCCGTGTTCCAAAGTTGGGAGCCAAGATATGGGTGTACAATGCAAGACCAAATATTTAGGAAATACCTTTTTCTGGAAAGGAAAGAACACATTTCACAGCTGAAAAGAGAAGTGAAAAATGAAACTAAAGAAGCATGAAGGTAATATTTACTTGCTAGATTTATACAGTGCCTACCTTTAGAAAAGCCTGGCTATAAATCCAGCATGTGCCCCTCCCCCAACACACATACACTCTGTTCTGTTATCTGAATTCTCTGAAGCACATTTTGAGGGCATTTTTACTGTCATTTTAAACTCTTCATCCTTCTACCCACCGCAGATCACCCTCAAACAGGAGTATTTGAATTTTTTGAAATTTAATCTTATTTTCATTTTAATTCCAGTTAGTTAACATACAGTGTAATATTAGTTTCAGGTGTACAATACAGTCTTTCAACACTTCCATACATCACCTGGTGCAAGAGTGGATGTTTGGAGTCAGACACTCCTGGGCTAAACCCAGGCTCCACAGTTTTCCTGCTGGGTGACCCTGGACATCTAACTTAAGTCTCTAAGTCTCAGTTGCCACATCTATAAACTGGGGATGCTAATAATAACAGCTACTTAATGGGGCTGCAATGAGGATTACCCGAGTAAGGCCTGTGAAGCCTTACCACAGCACACAGTAGCGCAGTACACATTGCTCAGTGGTGTTAGCTACTATTATTGCTGTAATACAGTGTGTATGGGGGATGCAAATCAATTTCAGTATCAAACAAATAACCAGGTACGTAGGCCTCTGAAACATAGGACTATAATGCATCTGAAAGCTAAACAAAAGAGATATTTGGATTTCTGTCATTTCTAATTTTTTCTATTAGATCGAAAATTGAATATGAAAACACCAGAACAGTAAATAAGTCAGATTTCTCTTGTAACCAACAAAATCTAGACTGCTTTTCTAAAAGTAGGCACTTGTATAATCTAGACTGTTCACAGTAGGATGCAGATGACTGATAAAGCTTAATGCCTTTCCCAGGAGCATTTGCATTTTCCAGTGGGGCCAAAAACCTTGGCCAGAGGATCGAAGCTGGAGTGGTGAGGTTTCAGCTATCAAGCAGGGGACAGCGGGAGGCATTTTGATGCAGTGAATTGTAGCACTGCTAAACCATCTCAGGTACTCATTCATTCATTCATTCGACACCTATTTATTAAGTAACTGTTGTCTGCCAGACATTGTTGTATGCACTTGAGATACAATGGTTAACAGAATAGACAAAGATCCCTGTCCTCATGGGTTTCACATTTTAGTGGGGCATACAGACAATGAACAATACAATTAATGAATAAGTAGGCTATACAGTATGTTAGATACGGATTAAATACCATGGAAAAAGTAGAGAAAGGGGGAGATTAGCAGTGGGGGGAGGTGTTGGGCAGGTTGCAGTATTAAATATGGTGGTTAGGATGAGCCTCATTGAGAAAGTGACATTTGCCCAAAGTCTTGAAGGAAGTGAGGGAGTTCACCAAGAGGACATCTGAGGAAAGAGTGTTCCTCTGTGGGGCAGCTTGAGCAAAGGGCTCAGTGTGTGTGTGTGTGTGTGTGTGTGTGTGTGTGTGTGAGAGAGAGAGAGAGAGAGAGAGAGAGAGAGAAAGTGAAGACACAGGGGCCGGGGGCAGGAGGAAGGAGGTGTGGGAGAGATCATTCCTGCAGTGCTTGGGGAATACCAAGCAGGCCGGTATGGCTGGGAAAGCAGTAGGAGATGAAAGGTGCACACTGCTGTTCATGTGGGTCCTTGTAGGCTACTCTAAGGACCTTGGCTTTTACTAAGTGAAATGGGAACCCCTGGAGGATTTTGAGCAGAGGAGTGTAGTGATGTGACGTTTTAAATGGATCACTGTGACTACTGTATCAGGAATATACCAAAGGTGGGGAGGGGAAGGCACACCAGCAAGATCAGCTACTGCAGAAACTCAGGTGAAGGATGATGTTGGCTTAGACCTGGGGGGTAGGGGGCACCAGGGGAGAAACTGAGATGTGGACACTTTCTGGACCTATCTGAAGGTAGAACCAAAGGGATGTCAAGAATGACTCCAGATGTTTGGCCCCATCAACCAAGATGGGAAAGGCTGTTCGAGGAGCAGGTTTTGCACAGAACATAAGGAATTCAGTGTTTGGATATGTCAGGTTTGAGATGCTATCAGATTGCCAAGTGGAGACTGAGGTTGGCTGTGTAACCTGGCACTCAGGAAGGGAGGTCTGTGCAGGAGATACAAATTTGATATAGACAGTTGCTTGAAGGCACGGGGACAGATGGGATCACCCAAGGAAGAAGTGTGGATGGGAGGCGAGGCGGTCTGAGGACAGGAAGGTACAGGTCTTCCCCCAGGAAACCGTAGGCTCCCTGGCTAGGGCTGATGAAGGCCCACTCTAGAGCAGCCCGGGCCTGCAGGGGGTGCCCTGGAACTCGCTGTGGTTGCAGAGTGATGGAGAGAAATGTTTGCTTCCCCGGGAAGGAGAGGCGCTCAATAGATTCCTTCGGGAGTGGCAGAAATAATTAAGAGAAGTAGGTAAGGATATCCTAGTAGCACACGTGCTCGGCTGCCTCCAAGGAATTAGAAAACCTGGGTCTATTAATCTGTTCAGACATCTGGGCACCACCGCCTAGCCTACGAGGCCCCGCCTCTCCAGCCCTTTCTCTCTCTCTCTCTCCCCTCCCCTCTTCCCATCCTCGCCTCTACATGTCACTTCTACAACCGCTCTGATTATAATTGATCAAACAGAATCACGGAATCACGGCTCATTTTGCTGTTTTGTTCGGTGGCCCGATCTGCAAAGAGACTCTGGTAGTTGGGCAGATTGTATCCCCCCCTCTTGGAATTCCGCTCACAGAGGCCTTCCCGACGTGGTCCGCCGCGCAGGGACGCGCGGGGGCCGCCCAGGATTACGAGGGCCGAGGGCCGGGGGCCGGCGGGGTGGGGAGGGGGGCGCGGCGCCGGCGGCCCGGCGCGAGGGGGTGTGTCCGCACCCCAGCCCGCCCGCGCCCCCCGCCTTCCGCCGGGGGCGCCCGGCGCGGCTCCTCACCCCCGCCCCTCGGCCGGCCCGCCGCCTCGCCTCGCTCCCCTTGACGTCATGTGGGCAGCAGGCTGGCTGGCTGGCGCGGTCGAGGGCCCGAGCGGGTGCTCAACTTCGGGCTCAAGTCCGCGCCGTGCGCCCTGCGCCGTGCGCCCGGCTCTCCGCGCGCCGCCGCCGCCGCCACATCTGGAAGCGTTCAGCGCGTCTGCCTCCAGCGCGCCGGGCGGGCGCGGGCAGGGGAGGGCGCGGGCGCGGCGCGGCGCGGCGGGGCTGGGCTGGGCGGCAGTGAGCGCGGCGCTCTCTCGCGCGCCCGGTGTCTCCCTCTCCCTGCCTCTGCAGAAACAGCTCCCTGCCAGAACGGCGCTCGGCGCGGCGCGGCCCGGAGCGGCGGCGGCGCCTCTTCCTGCCTGCTCGCCCTCAGGAGTTGCTGGATCTTTTTGACAGAGAAAAGCCGACAGGGGCCTCGGGGAGGACTGGCCACGAGCGGGCAGAGACGTTTCAGCCCCCCTGCTGGCCGGGCGGACCCCTCTCCCTCCGTCCGGGGGTCCGCCGCTCCCCCACTCCCCTCCTTTCCGCCTCTTCTCGCTCTGCCTCTCTAGATTTATTTTTTCAAATGGTGTAGCCGCCAGAGGTGCGGTGCTAAATTCTTGGAAGGGGCCCGGATGTACTGAGGATGCATTACAATTTCACAAAAGGAGGCAGTAGTGGAAAGGAGCAGTTTTTGGTGTTTGATGCAATAATGGGAATCAGGTAATCATCAGAAGGGAAGAAGAAATACTGCAGATCCACGGCTTCCTTGAATTTTGCACGAAAGCCGACCTCGGAGGAGGGATTAATCCAGACCCGCTTGGGGGTGTTTTGCCATTTCTTCCTCTTCGTGGCTTCTCCTTTTAAAACAATTTTTGGTCAATGGTCAATGAGAACACGAGGATGTACATTCCAGAGGAAAACCATCAAGGTAAGGCTGGACCCCGCCGCCTCGCCGGGGCTCCAGCCCGGTCTCCCCGCCCTCTCCACCCCTCTCCCGCTCTCCCCCGCGCGCTCCCCGCGGCCCCCGGGCCGGTCTCTGCGGAGTTGCCCCGGGCTGCGACCGCGAGGGGCGCCCGGCGGCGGGGCGCCTCCGTCTCGCCCGAGCGGCCGGGAGCCCGGCGGGACCCGGGCCGGAGCCGCCCGCGAGCCGGAGCGGAAAATTCCCGCCCCTCCCCCTCCCCGTGTCCGGCTTCTCCAGAGCATGTGTTTCCTATGAATTTCCAGGCGAGGGGGAAAAGTTCCCCAAGTGTCTGCTCTGCCTCGCTTTCTCGCGTTTGCCTGGAAAGCCCAACTGCCCGGCCAGCGGCGCGGGGGGTGGGGGAGAGGGGGCGCCGGCGCCGCCGAGCCCCGCGGGCTGGGGTCCGTCGCCTCGCTCGGGGCGCGGCTGGGAGCGCGCGCGCGCGCGCACCCCGCCCTAGGTCGGCCTCGCGCCCCGGGCCGCCGCCGGGCATCCCGCTCGCTGCCGGACGCCCCTTCTCCCCGGCAGCGCGCTCCAGGTGGCGGGTGGGGGTCTGGGATGCAGATGAGTCTCGGCGCCTCTCTCTCCCTCTTTACCCGTCTCCCTCGCTCCCTCTCTCTCTCTTCCTCCCTCCCGGCTCCCTTTCTCCTCTCTCTTCCTCCCTCCCGGCTCCCTTTCTCCTCTCTCTTCCTCTCTCCCGGCTCCTTTTCTCCTCTCTCTCTCCCTCTTTCCCCGGGTCTCCCTCTCTCTCGGCTCACCTACACCCACCCACCTCTCTACTGCCATTGACCCCAGGTGCACCCACGCCCCGTGTATTCTGATTCGCACCCACATGTGGGCTAGCACCTGAGGATGTAAGCAGTTAGAAATCGGGCGGTGTGTGGGCTTTGCTTTTTCACGTTTTAAGGAAATAATGAAAGGGTGTGCCGAGCTCCCAGGGCTCCACACTGTTGCCCAGTGTTTTCCCAGCATCTGCATCCTGGGCACAAGTGTCACCAGCTCCCCCCAGTGAGGGGGAAAGGCTTTCAGGTAACTCCCCACTTCTTGGAAACTTTCTCCCTCCCCCATCCCCCCATATTAACAAGTTATTATGTTTTGGCACTGCTCAGCAGCTCAGGTTATGATGGAGTGTGGAGGGATGGTCTTGCTGGAGTGTGGCAGCCTCCAGCTTCATCTGTCTTGTCTCCATGGCTTTCTCTGCCTCTTTTGGGTGTAGTCTTCCCTTTTCTCTCCCAGTTTCCCAAGCCTCCCTGTTTACACTCCCTTTCAATTGCGTTCTCCTGAATACCTGTCGCTGTTAGTGGTGTTACTTCGTGGGGGTACTTTAAGTGATTCTCTGAGGACCCCAGCCTGGTGGAGGGGTTGCCTCCTTGTCTCTTCTTTCCAGCCTCCTCCTCCTCCTGCCCCCATCTCCATCATTTGGGGACAGATCCCCTGTCCTTTAGAGCTACCTGCCTGGTCTCTGTCCATCCTGAAGCTGATTTGGGGGCTAGCTGTCCCTCTACTTTCCAGCTGGGGTGGCAGTGTGGGGATTTTGACCCCTCGGTAGAGAGAATTTTGTCAAGGGCCATGGGTTCTAGGGTGAGCCAGGGCTTTGTCATAAGGGAGGCTTCTGTCCCTGGATTTCTCTATGCCATGACCCCATCTGTCACCTGTTCCTCCGGTCCCCTTCCTAGCAGATGGAGCAGTGGATGCATTAGGAGGTTGAGGATGAGAGACACAAAGGAAAGGGTGATATTTGTGAAGAGTGGGGATGGATGTCTCCCCTCCAGGTTCTTAACTCAGCCTGAGCAGCCTCAAAGAGGAGAGCTCAGTAGTATTGTCCTTACTGTCACTAACAATGGCAGTATGCCGTGGCAAGAATTATTATTCACATAAGGATAATCTTCAGTAGTTTACCAGGTCCCCTCTTAGTGCGGGAGAAACCCCTCTTAGCCCCTTTCCTTTTTTTTGCCCCTTTGTCCCCCGGCATCCCCCCTCCCCCACCCCACAGAAATGCAGGGAGCAGACGTTAAAAGTAGGAACACTGACCCTGGAGAGGTTTGTGAGAAAGATGGAGGGACAGGAGCGAGTGAGCCATGGCCAGGAGCTCTGCCTTTCCAGCAACATGCCAACAAACACTATGGCAACCTGAATTCCAGTTCTCTCCCTTGAAGCTGCAGTGATTATATAATTCACAGGAGCAATTTTGCCTCTGTTCCTGGATGCGGTGCTCAGGTGAAAGAGCACCAGGATCCCTGTCTCTCCTCCATTGCCCATTCCCCTGTCCTCGGTCACTGGCATTGCCCAGGGTTTTTTTTCAGGGAGGAGAGAAAGAGGGTGATGGAGGTAGGGAAGGGAGACCTGGAAAAGCACGAATATTTACAAGGAAGGGGTTGTTGTGGTTTAATAACCGAAGGGGTGATGAAATGTAATTAGGGGTTAGAGTTTCAGAAGAGAGAGAAGAGAAGCCAAATGATTACCTCAGATCAGTGATGGTGACGAACCAAAGAGTGGAGAACCGAAAAAGTTGCCAGTGCAGGGCTTTACATTCTTCTCTTCCTGACAGATTTGAAGGCACTGAATGCATTGACCCTTTCTCCCCAGCTTTTTGGTGGTGGTGGTGGTGTGTGTGTGTGTGTGTGTGTGTTGAGGGTTGGGGTATGGAGACCTGATCAGTGCGCTGGAACAGTCTGAAGGTTCACTGAAGGACTGGCTTTTGACCCTGGGTTTCAGGCTGGGAGTGGCTCATGTGGGCCTCGTCTTACCTCTAGTGCCCTATCTGCTCTGGTCCCACGCCAACCTCCCACTTTTCTGGGCTGATTTTCCATTGCAGGCTCCAGCTAGCAAATGAGTTTCTTAATAGTCAACCATTTAGCAAATAAAACATCAGAATGTCCCTTATCTGCTGGAGACAAGGCAGAGGGGAGAAACATGTGTTCTGGGAGTGGAAGACACACTGTGCTTTTCTTTTAACTACTTAGCAATACAGCAGAATAGTAATCATCATAATAAAGTAATAATAATAATAGTGATCACAGTTAACTCTCTTTACAAATGGTGATAGAACAGTGTCACTTGCACCTCAGCTTGTACAGGTTTTAGAAAGTGTGACATTAGCTTCTCTTTCTCCAGATACTGCATGGAGGAAACCGGAGGAAAAGGGCTATTGAGGCTCTAAATTTCATTCCTAGTATTGCTCTGACACTTTCCGGTGTATCAGAATAATACATAATAGACTATATTACAAGAACCAATTATTTATTATTTCTATAGAGTACACACTAAAAGTATTTAAGTCTGTGCGCATGTGCATACACACACACACACTGAATAAGGAAAAATATATTTTAGATTACACAAAAGATTAATGCACGGTGGGAACAACTCAGCAAGTTGTGGAGAGGAATATTGGTAATGCAGTCCCCTGAAACTGGACATTTCTACCTCATGTGAAGTGGAGAATTGTTCTCTACTGGTAGATGTTCCAGGTGTAGTAGTTTGCAAATGAAATGGTGAGCCATTAGCCCCTTCAACCATCTCTCAGTCTTGGTGATGACTTGAACTCTTACTGCAATTTTTTCTTTGACTTAAAACTGCCCTAGGTGGGTTCTTCTATGTATATAAGACCTTGGACTTATGCTGAAGCATGCTGAATGAGGATTTCGAGGCCCTGCTGATCTTTGTGTCCTCACTTCTAGCACTGGTTCCCGCTCATTCCAGGCCCCTAATACATGACTATATGAATGCCTGCCCGCCTGAACGAATGAATGCAGACGCAGAAGACCTGAAGTGGATGTGCTTTCTGCCTCTCCCAGTAGGTGGCGCTCTAGGGCTTAGGAGTCAGGAAAGGGGCACTCGCATTAGGTTTGGTGAGGAAAGCTATTGGGAGGGTTTGGAGAGAATTTCCTGTGTGCTGTGACTCTTTGATTATGCCCACACCTGTCCCAGTGCAGAGAACCCCAAAGACCAGTGTGTGTTCCCATGCCACCACACACACCAGAGGACCCCTAGGGTGACTGAGTCCCTCAGGGACCTTGCCACCCTCTGGTAATGCAAACCCACTCTGGATTTCTCCCACTCTTGCACACTCTTACCTCAGACTTCTGTTTACTTCTCGCACAGACGGCATCCTACTGAGCCTTGAGGGAGCCTTTTGGGCAATTAGCCGAACTTGTTATGGCCGTATATTAATTTTCTCCCTGATTTACCATGGATGGTTTAGTAACCAGAGGGGCCAGTGGTTCCCAAGCCCAGTGGAGCATAAGGTGACCAGAAATTTGGGATTTGGAAACCCTAACCTATAGGGTTACAAAGCTTGCAGGCTCAAAGGCAGGAAGACATTTTCCTAACTTTATTAGGGAAAAACCCACAAAAACAACTGGGTACACTTCACAGCTGATTTCTGTTTATGAGTCTGGCTGGGCTCCTGCTGGGTAATGGCAGAAAAGCTCCCGAGACCCAGGTTAGGCAGTAACTGAGATTTGTTCTAATTTTCAGTGATGTTTTCCAGCCCTTCCTTCACTTGGCTTTCTTAGTTGTTGTGGCAAACTCTCTGAGGTCTGAGAAACCCTTGCTATGGTGTTTAGAAGGGGTGAATGAGTGCCCCATAGGGTCTTCTTCCTTTTCAGTAATTCTTGCTGCCTGCTGAGGCAGCCGTTTGTTAGGTGGTAGTGACAGGTCAGTTCGTGTCATCCCCACGCCTCCTTGCCGGACTCTGAAACCAATGCTCAGCATTCAAAAGCAGGAGACAATTTTATTTTCAGACATGGACTGAAGAAAGCGGATAGATTGTTTGGGGAAACACCTGAAGACTTAACAACAAGACAAATTAGCAAAATAATCACGCTAACGTCGTCTGTTTTGAGATCCCATCCTCACTGTTGCCTCCGTTAATGTTGGGCACTGGAGGAGAGCAGAAGACTGATGACAAAAAAGGCATGGGAATTGTTTTGCAAAATATCAGGTGCTAAATATTTAGCAACACGAGT